ACAGCTGCTGGGAGGCCCAGGCATGAGAACAGAACGAACAACCTAAGTGCGGCGTTTCTTTCCATGGAGAAGAGCCGGTGCCTCCACACCGAGCACATCTGCTCCTCTGGGCTGGGGGGGGCTGCGCGGCCCCGCACGCCCGGCGGTGTGATGGACAGCAGATGCAGCCAACGAGAGACGTCTCTGCTCTGGAACCCAGAGGGAGAAAGTCTCTGCGTGTTCACTTGTACGCTGACTGCATGCACCGACAGTAGGCACGGCCCGTGTGCCTGCGAAGGAAGGATTACTGGTTTGGGGGCAAAATGCACTGGGATGTGTGAGATGTCTTTCAGGAAGAAAAAAAAAAAAAAAAAGAAATGGGAAAAAAAAAAAAAAGGTGGGAAAAAAAAAAAGGAAAGAAATAAAGAAGGGGAAAAAAAGAAATAAAAAGAAAAAAAAAAAAAGGGTGGTCTCTACAAGCTCTGACTACACTAAAGCTGCACTCAGCAGTGCTTGTTATCTGTACTCAACCTAAGCCTTACAGAACGGTAAGGCTATGTTTCCAAATAGCTCATAAATTTTCCTATTTGTGTAATTATCCTCATAAGGATTATCTGTATTCTAAAGAAGACTTACAATACCTTTACAATACTAGTGCTATTTTACTGATTGGAATTAGACTTAAAGAGCTAAGAAGTCAAACATTCAGAGTTGGTTAACTTCAGTTTCAGTCAATTTGTGTGCACCCACCTCTCTGGCTTAGTTGTTTATATACTCAGAGACAATGCAAAGCAGAACTAACATTGCCAAATGTCCACAAAAGGACAGTGCCTTGGTTTGGGAATTGTCAGACTGAGGCTCCAGGGTCCAGACCTAGCACAGGTTGGATCAAGTTGTTCTGACAAGGACAGGTGGGTCATGGGCAGGCACCTCCTTCTATAAGACCTCTGTCCTCATGAGACATCAAAATGGACTTCCAAGTTGGATATTAGGAAAAATTCCTCACTGAAAGAACGCTGGAACAGGCTGCCCAGGGTGGTGGTTGGAGTCACTGTTCGTGGAAGTTTTCAAGAAACATGGAGACACGGCATGGATGGACACAGTTAGTGGGCACGGTGGGGATGGGTTGAAGTGTTGGACTAGATGATCCTAGTAGTCTTTTCCAACCTTAATGATTCTATGGTTCTATGACTGCAGTTCTATCTGTGTGGGAAAGAAGAGGGTAGGGCACAATGATTTCTCAAACCCTACTGTCCATGCGCTTTCTTTACATAAACTCAGTAACAGCATAATGCTCACCTCACTAACAGCAACTTGAAATCAAAGTATCTGCACAGGGAAAGCTGAAGTAAGGGTAGTTTCTGCTGGATCCACTGTCAAAACTGTGCTCTTCCACCTGTTCACATCCAGTCTGGCCTCAGTTGTGAGCACAGCTATGACTGGTAATCAAATTGAGAAAAAACCTCTGACAGAAACACCTTTTTAGTATAGCCTTCAGCATCAGCAGCACTTTCTTGAAAGATCAGTCTTGAGAGGCAGTTCAGACTAGCACTCAGCTCACATTTGCAGCCATGCTGCACCCTTTTCCACTTAAATATCCAGGCAGGAGATAGCCACGACCAGTTCCAGCCAACAGCTGCCTTTATACATCTGTATATTTATGGTCATATACCATACCCAACCCATACCCAGTCTATACCCAACCGTAAGGCACATTAATGCCTTGTGTGGCAGCTAATGTAAGCTACCCACTGATGTGATCATGGAATAAGACCTACTCCACTGATTAAGAGCTCCTGTCTATTGCATTCCAAATACAAGATTAAGATAGGGGCTTTAGCATTGTAACTATTCAAAAGGATTTGCCATCTTAATTTCTCTTTCAGGGATACAGATGGTACTCACTAATGTTAAAAATCTCTCAACAGCTTGTCCAGAGTCATGCTGCTTCTATCCAATTTAAGGTGGAATCTAAATACTCATGAGAGTCCTCACATGAAAAATGAGGTGAGCAAGAGCAGTGAAAAATAATGAACAAGTGACAATAAGCTCAATATTTTCCATGGAACACCAGAAATTTATGATCCCAAATCAGCAGAATAAATACACCAGTAAAGAGAAGTGGCTCAGCTGAGAACTTTAAGAAATCATGAAAGGAGGCAGAAGTGTCACACACATTTCTAAAAGTTAGTAAGCCTCTAAAATAAAGGACATGCTAAATTCTTTAGTATTCCTGATGCATAGTTCCTTTTAAACAAGCTTTTGAGTTTTTTAGTGTTTTCTTTTTTTTTTTTTTTTTTTAGTGTTTTGTTTTAAATAAAAATGCACAGAGTCTTCCTATTTGTGCCTTGGAATTTCACACGTAGGTATTTTGTACATGTTCATTTTTCACTGGTACAGGAGCAAATGCTAAGAAAGAAAAATGCTGAAATACAAACACTTGCTACACAGATTAACAAACTGCATCCTTTGAAGTGAGAAAGGGAGATAAAATGGTATCGACAACACTTGGCAGACCACAGCTAAACTATGTCACTATAGGCTGAATTCAGTGAAAAGTCTATTCTCTGTCAACAGAATGTATATTTAATTGTTCTTCTGCCAGCACATTTCTGTGGGGCTTGCAATCTCACAGGGAAAATGCTTTTTCAGTCCATATTTCACAGAGCGAGGAGAAAAGTACATATTAGTGTGCTCAGAAATAAGGTTCTTTTGCAGACAACTAAGAGAACATGTAATGCCAAACTGCTAACACAGGTTAAACCAATATGAAAATATACTTTCTCACTACATACTACTAGCACATGCTGATAGTAATTCACTAACTAGCACTCATCACCTGAGAAACTGGAAGAAGCAATGAACATGAAGAAAAGTCCTCTTGGTATTTGCTGATAATATAAAGCATTCTGTGCCATTCTTAAAAAGGTTCCTTTTGGTTGAGCTTCAAGAATAAACAGACTATACTGAAAGCAAAGAAGCCATCCTATGCATACACTTTGTTCTGGTGAAGAATTATGACGAACATCCAACTCTGCAACAAAATTTCTATGAAGCCTGAAAACTTTTTGAATGGAGCTTCTATGCAGTAGTCTTGACTAGGAAATGATTAGACGAGCTCTTGTGATTTGGTTGACAAACTACTGTTATATTTGCACATTTTATGTTGAAATCACACAGACAAGCAAAGCTAATCAAATGTACCTTAATCTGCAACTACATACATACACCATGGACAAAGGTGAACAAAGGATCACGGGCAAAACCCAAATTCTGTTTTATGGAACACACAAGGTTACATTCAGTTCCATAAATGCATCCAACAAACTTCCTAGGAGACAAAGCCAACAATAAACTAACAGTTTTGTCTACATATCACAAGGTGGGCTACGGTGGGCTGACTGGCTACTATTTCAAATAAGAAGATTAAAATACCGTTTATTGTCATGATTTCTCCATCTGACAATAAGATACTGCTTAGGATTATTCTTCATGCAAAACTTCTCCTTGTGATGCTATCACTTGTTTATTTCTTAGCAACATGGTATTTCAAACACCTCTGCTGCAAAATGTATAGCAGTCAGGGAGAAGTTACAGATCTCACTGTGCCTCTTTTTGGATCTGCACTTACTCCTCCTATTGTTTGGGATTTATCTTGCAGAAAAGGTAGTTAAGAAAGCAGTTGGCAATTATATTCAGAGTAAGGATTCAGAGTTTCATGTAGTTTGTGAAACAAAAAATCACAAAGACCGACAGGTAAGCCAATCAGCATTCCTGGCCTTCCACACACCCCAAAGTGTGTCACCACAGTTCAGCAGCAAGCCTTCTGTCAAAGAAGATGATTACATAAATGTTGATGGAGGCCTAGAGATGACAGCTGTTCTGCCTGATGCTGCAGTGATTATGTACGCAGTGAGTTTGTGTGCAACGAACAAGAGTGCAGACATAATTTTAAACATGGATAATTTATCTCTTTGAAGGGCATCTCCTCAGGCAAACAATGGCACAATTTATTTTCAACGCAGTTTACCTTCAGATGACATATCAGGTCACTGTGATCAGAACAGCTTTTTAAAGTAACATGCCTAACAAAATAACAAAGTATGACATAAAAGCAACTGTACAAACACTTCAGAAACCATTACTGTTTTTCTAGTCTAAGATAAGGTGTTCCTCTGGTTCACAAACAGCTACAATGGATTGATTCCTGAAGTACAACAAAAGCACAGGCAGAAAAATTGGCTTTATTTAGAAAAAAATTATCCCGGTTTCAGCAAAATCTCCACTTGGCAACTAATTTGCCTATGAGCTTTTCAATCAAATATACCACACAGACACTGATTGTAAGTTAGGTTAGATCTTACGAGGAAACTCAGCACAGTGAGAGTACTGAGGCCCTGGCACAGCTGCCACAGGCCTGTGGTGCCCCATCCCTAAAGGCCTGAGGTTGGATGGGGCCCTGGGCAGCCTCATCTGGGGGGGAGGACAACGTGCCCACAACAAAGAGTTGGAACTGGGTGAGCTCCAAGATGTCTTCCAATCCTATGACTGAGTATATGGGAGAAAAAAAAAAAAAAAAAAAAGGGAAACATAGAGCAGTCTGTGTCACAGCACTGATCTGCCACGGAGAAGGGAAGTCCCAACACCCTAGCGGATGGAGCAAGCGGAACGGAGCCTCAGCGCCCCGCGAGCACGTTGCGGAGCACAAAGGCATGAGGCACACCGGCCTCCCCCCGCCTCCTCACCGCGCCGAAATGGCGGCGCCCGCGCGAGGGCCGGCGAGCTCACAGCGCCCCCTGGGGGCCGGGCGGTCCCCAGCTCCTCGGGAGGAGCCGGCGCAGCTCTGCGTCCCCGTCGCGGAGGACACCTCAGCCTTGGCGCGTTACCGAACAATTGCCTTAGCGCATCGAAGACCGCCGTTTGCTTCAGTACATTCCGTCACAACTTCCTTCCTAGCGGCTTTTATACACCTAGTTAGGCCCGGTACTCTGTAAGATCTTAGAACGTTTTTACGAATTTAAATCTCTTTTAACTACCGGACCGGGGCTCCGCAACGCCCACCCACAGCTCCGCACACGCCCGAAGCGGCCACGCCCCACCTCAGGCCGCTCACGGCCGCCCCGCCCGACGAGGTCGCCCTGCGCCTGCCGGCTGCGTTCAGTCAGGCGCGGGCGCGGGCAGCCCGCGGGGTCCTCGCGGCCGCAGCTAGGTGGCGCACAGCGGGCGCGGCGCTTCCTTTTGCGCTCGGCAGCCGCGGCAGCAGGATGGGTGAGCGCGGTTGGGCAGGGCCGGGGGCCCGGGGGGTCGGGGCCTGGGCTTAAGGGGTCGGGGCGGCGGCGGGGTTGGGGGGTGGGGGGGGTCCTAACTTGATCTCGGAGCCTCACGGCCCCGACCACGCCGCCGTGGTTCGCGGAAGGGGCGCAGCCATTTCACACCGCGTGGCCGGGCGGCGGTGGGGCGGCTGGGCCTCGGAGCGCCTCCTCATCTTTCCGTCCCGCTTCCCGCAGGGAAGTGCCGTGGTCTCCGCACCGCTCGCAAGCTGCGCAGCCACCGTCGCGACCAGAAGTGGCACGACAAGCAATACAAGAAGGCTCACCTGGGCACGGCGCTGAAGGCCAACCCGTTCGGCGGCGCGTCCCACGCCAAGGGGATCGTCCTGGAGAAAGTGTGCGTGACCCTGCGCCGCTGCGGGGCCGGGGGAGGGCTGTGGGGTGGGACTGGGAGCGGCACGGGGAGGCACCGGGCCTCGGGAAGGGGCCGCGGGAAAACAGCGAGCATGAGCTGTTCTATTTCATGTGTTTTATTATACAGCGTATAACGTAGCGTTAGCGAGCTCTGGGACGTCTGATCATTGCTTCTTTATTTTGTTAGGTTAATAAACATCGTTTAAGAAGTAAAGCAGTACGTTCTTATTGACCTAATATAGGGGTGAGTGGGTGGTGGGATTTTTTGCTTTCTTACAGCGAAGACCCAAGGGCTAATTATTTCTCAGCTTTATTTCCTGAGTTAGGATATGTAAGAGATGAGGTATTTGTGTAATTTAGCTTTAGTACTGAGTAACTCTACATGCATCAGTGATACCTTTCTGTTTCGAAATACAGGCTGAACATAAAAAAAAAAAATACAGTAATATGTTGTGGTGCAGTGAGGGTCTGCTAACTTGTGAAACAATTTCTTTTGCTGATGTGTTTTCATATGTTTCCATTTTAGTGGAGTAGAAGCTAAACAGCCCAATTCTGCTATCAGGAAGTGTGTGAGAGTCCAACTCATCAAGAATGGCAAAAAAATAACAGCCTTTGTTCCCAATGATGGTTGCCTGAACTTCATTGAGGTGAGTGATACCCAGGAACTGACTGATACGTGTGTTAATGTATAGAAACATGGAATTGATGGATTTAGCTGATGGTTAGACAGGGTTTCATGTCATTCTGAACAGTGTGTATCTTAATGTGGTAGCTACAGAGGGAGACAGAAGATGTCAGAGGCAATTTTTGTACTTTCCATTCTGTTGGCCAAGACAGTTTTCAGTGTTCTTGCTGCAAGCTAAATAATATTACCCTTTCCAAATCACTGAAGGGGGTATTATTCTGTGTGTCTATTGAAAGTCTTCAGTATTTCTTATCCTTTCCCTAGAAAGTTTGTACTGGGGCTCAGATTTATTGCAGATTCTTTCAGATGTCTGGACAGGCTTGCTGTTTATAGCTTTGTAACTGCATGGTTTTTCATTGCAGGAAAACGATGAAGTGCTCGTTGCTGGTTTTGGTCGGAAGGGTCACGCCGTTGGTGACATTCCTGGAGTTCGCTTCAAGGTTGTCAAAGTAGCCAATGTTTCTCTATTGGCCTTGTACAAGGGCAAGAAAGAGAGACCAAGATCATAAATTTCTATTAACTTGCCAAGAATATCAATAAAGTTTTTGATTGGAGAAGTTTCTATCTCATTATTTAAGATTTAGAGTATTTTTTAGTGTGTTACTTGCAAGCAGGCAATGGTTCTCTCAGAAGCGGGGTACACTGCCCTTTGTTGCAGTAGGTTTTTCCTTAATGTAGCACATACTTTGCTGTTGAAGAAAGCCAGAGCATTTTTGTAACTAGCATGTTAGCTCAAAAGTTCCAAGTTTACTAGACGACAGCTGTTTGCCTGGAAATTCAGAGATCTACTTCATTGTTTGAAATTATGTTTTGGGTCTCTCTCCAGTTGTCAGAGCCTTCATTAAGGCTTCTGCTGTCAGGATGGATCAATAGATGCCTCTAAGGTCTTTGTCCCTCTGTAAGCCCTTCCTGAAAGCTGTTGCAAAGATGGTCCCATCAGAGAAAGTTGCCGAATAGTCATGCTGCCACATGAACCTCAGGTCTGAGTATGATGCTAACAGCTGTATGGGGACTTGATGTAAGGAAGCAGGCTGCATTACAGAAGAAAAAAAAAAAAGATTTTTTTGCTCTGTAGCCTGTGTTTTCAAGGGATGGAGTGCTGTAAGAGGATACCATAGACTAGTATATGATGCCAGCACATGGACAGTCCAGTGCGGAGCTGACAAGCCCTGTGGCCCACTGAACACAGTAACTGCAGCAGCTACAATTTTTGATGGTGTTGGAGCTGAGTTTTCAAGCTCCATGCCTGAGTCCAGACAATGGCTTTCTGGTGGTGGGCTATTTGGTCAAACCTACAATCATTCTAATAGGGCTGTATCATAAAGCCAATGTCAATCATAGGTGTGACATCTATGGTGGAAAGGGTCAGGGAGTGAGATGTTCACTGCTTTATGCAGCAAAGTTGTGTCCTTGTTCTCCTTCTACACAGAAAGATCCATTTCTTGGAGTATTTTGAAAAAGACAATAGAAGTAATGCCTCCTCTCTTACAGTGTTGGTCCATGGTGTCAGAGGCAGATGTTTGTGGTATGGCAGGAGAGGCTGAACATTACAGCCAGTATTTTGTTGCCGTGCAACAGATGGCAGTAGAGGGGCAGTCTGACAAAATGGTGTCTGACATGGAAATAAAGATGAAGCAAAGGTGTGTCACTGCATTGTTCTCTGCTTACATATTCATTCTTAGTATTCAAATAACAGTGATTCCAGTTTCTAGTGTGATGGCAGGCAGTGGCACCTGACACAATTTATCACTTAGCTCCTGAAGGGATTATTAAGGCATTTACCTAATTTCATCTCTGTCCCTCCCCAGCCCGCAGAACTTCATGCAGCTACTTTCATGTTACATGTTAAACAGTTCGATTGAACAAATCTTGCTGATTTGAAGATACTGATTTCTTTTAGTGCATTCCAGTTGTTATCTGTTATCATTTAACCACTGTCATACTGACTTAAATATATCTTTAATACTTTTTGCTCTTCTCTGCCACATTAAAACAAATTTCTAAATAGTTGGGATTTTTTTGTTTGTTTTGTAATTTTGGGCTGGTTGGTTTGGCTTTGCAGAGGTCTCAACACCACTATCAAACTACTGAAAAACTGAAGCTTTTATCACTTAGTATTTTCTGTATTGCCCAATTTTTCAGTATCGCTTAAAAAATGGATGTTACCATAACATAGAATTATAGACAATAAATAAAGAGGTCAAAATGTTCCTCCATGTTAGCCTTTAAACCACTGTTAAATCTTCCATGCTGTCAATATCTGTACTCTTTTTACTAAAAGTTTGGCCCTTTGAAATTACATTTTCTGTAGAGCTTATGGTGGAGCATGGGTTCTTAGTTTTGTGCTAGGGCTATCTTATGCAACAAAAACTAAAAATATCTCTTTGGTTGAAGTTTTGACTGTAAACAATTCTCTCGTTAACATCATCTGTGTGTTCATTCACAAGGCTCTGCTTCAATTAGCATTCGCTAATTTATATGGAAGAGGAATTAAAGTTAAGAGCAGGCTGAGAATCTCTGCCACTGATTGTTTTGCAGCTTAGTCATCTAGTTCTGAGCATTGGATTCAAATCTTTGCTCAGATGAGGCACAGAAGCAGTGCTGAACTTTGTTTTTCTGTAGCCTTGCTAATGCTGTAGCTGCTGTCCTAGGGAAAACTTGTTTATTTGTATCCTCTTCCCAACTTTGGGAAAGTTGCTGTCTGTGATTCCAGAATTAGGACTCCCTCGGTTGCAATCTGACTCAGATTTTCAGAGCTTGACTTCAGAGGCACAGTGGTCTTCGGTGCAAAGAAAAAGGAAGCTGAAGACCAGGGCCATGGTGAGTGGGGAAGACACAACAGAACAAGATAAGAGTTTTTTAGGAGCTCCACCAGACAGACTATAGCAGTGTAGATGCACAGTATCAGTAACGTACTCCAGCCAACCAGCACACTAGAACCTGGTGAAGACCTGTGAAAACCTAATGAGGTTCAGTAAGACCAAGCGCAGGGTGCTGTACTTGGGTCAGGGCAATCCCCAGGTGTTTATACAGACTGGGGGAAGATCTCCTTGAGAGCAGCCTTGCAGAGAAGGACTTGGGAGTTCTAGAAGATGAGAAGCTGGACATGAGCCAGCAGTGTGTGCTTGCAGCCTGGAAGGCCAACTGTGTTTGGGCTGCATTAAAAGAGCGGTGATCAGCAGGGAGAGGGAGGTGATTGTCCCCCTCTACTCAGCTCTTTGAGGCCCCATCTGCAGTACTGCTTCCAGGCCTGGGGCTCCCAGCACAGGAGCTCTTGGAGCGGCTCCAGAAGAGGGCCACTAAGATGATCAGAGGGCTGGAGCACCTCTCCTATGAGGAAAGGCTAAGAGAACTGGGCTTGTTTAGCTTGGAGAAGAGGTTCCAGAGACACCTCATTGTGCCTTCCACTACTTGAACGGAATATATAAACAGGAAGGGCAACAGCTGTTAATGAGGGTGGATAGTGACAGGAGAAGGGGGAATGGTTTTAAACTGGGACAGGGGAGGTTCAGGTTAGATATCAAGAGGAAGTTTTTCACTCAGAGGGTGGCGAAGCACTGGAACAGGTCGCCCAAGGAGGCTGTGGATGCCCAGTCCCTGGAGGCATTCAAGGCCTGGATGTGGCTCTGGGCAGCCTGGTCTGGTGGTTGGTCACCCTGCACATAGCAGGGGGATTGAAACTAGATGATCATTGTAGTCCTTTTCAACCCAGGCCATTCTATGATTCTATGACTGTGAAGACTATGGATGGACCCCATGCCATCAGCTATCCCCATGGCTTCGGTATCCCCTGCCACCACTTTTTTACTTAGATACGTAGCTTGGTAGCCTTCATCCCATCTTGGATAGGGGAGGGTTAACTGCTGGCATTTTTGTTCTTTCCTGCAATATGTGTTTTCTGGATGCGTTCTCTTTTCACCCAAAATTTTAATGTGGGCAGATTTTGAGGATATTCTACATCTGCCCAATATTTCTTACAGCTTCACTGAATCACATGTACTGTTTATGCACAGTAACTTCTACTATGCTACTTAAGTCCAGAAATCCCAGATATATCACTACAACATGTCTGCTGTGGCTCTATGTATTGCTTCTGTGAGAAACAGATGCACTAATCAGAGGCTGCACATGGTAGAAATGCATACATATCCTACTGAGAAATCTCTGAAATCTAGCCTCAATCTATGAGCAGAACCAAGTATGGTGTTGACTTGACCTGAAAGAATTGGTTGCCAGTGGCACAGCCGTGTTTATCCATGATATGCATCAAACCAAGCACAGTAAACAGATGAGAGAAATCATAAACAATTACATGCAAACCCGACCAGCTAAAATGTTTTTTTTCAGGTGATCTTTGATTACAGTAAGATTAGAAGCTGCTGGATTAGCAGACCAGCCACTGCACTCAAGGCTGTGATTCAGAGCTTGCAGACCTGACAGCAGTTCTAGAGGAAGAAGCAGGTCCCTGTCAGCCAGTTTAATCAATAAACCAGTCTCATACATACAAATAATGTTATCCTGCACCACCGCTGGTGTTACTTTATTTCACCCAAGTTTATGACCAGCAAACTGAGTCTTACTGTTCCTATTGTGATTTGCTTTTCTTGCTTAGCAGAAAATATCAGAAAGGCTTTCAGTAAAAAAAGGGATTATATTGCAGCCATCAAAGAGTTCTGTTAAAGAAGTTGTGGTTTATATTCTTTTCAAGTTCTGAAGACAACCTGACAATAGAAAAAACGAGGGTTTAGTGGGGGTAAATTGAGCTATTTCTGAAAGTAGGGCGCTGTCGTGAGGTAATCTCACCACTAGATGTTGCTGTAAGCATGATGAGGGGAGAAGCTGGAGCACAAAAGTTGTAAACGAACAGTTGTTCATACGCACATTGACAGAGGAAGTCTTCAAAATGGGAAAGTTAGCTTTTAACTGATTTGGTGAGTTTCCATTACAAATGGGGCACTTACTGCCTTATCGTCTTTGTGTACCCAGTTGGGGGACAGATGCCATACAGAAACACCAGAGCCTACAGTGTGAAATCATTGCACATCTTGTTAGATCAAAAAAATGGAATAAAAGAATACAGATTACTCCTCCATTGAGCATGTGGATATTTTACAGACCTGGTTAAATTAGATCTTTTGTTTGTTTGTTTGTTTTAAACTTCTTGCAAAGATAAAATTATGTAATACTACTTGCTAGAAGTGAGCAAACACACAGAACTGGGAGCAGAAGCAAAGCACTAAGTTATTGAAGCAAGTTGCACATTCTGAGTTGCATTTTGTCACTGATTTCATAAACATGTTTAGCATGTCTGGTCAGAATTTGGGCACCAGGATGCTTTTAGGATGCCTGTCTATAGAACTTGTCAGTGCTCAAGAATAACTTCTGTTATTTGGATGCTGCACAAAAAAATTCAGAGGAAGATGAGCCAGGCCAGACTTAATCACAATCACTAGTAAAGCGGTTTTAAGCCTAATTAAGACATGTCAGAACTATGTGTTATGCAACCAAATCCTTCAAAAGATAAATCAGAGGTGAACCTGTGCAATAAATACAGCAG